ACCAAGATTTTTTAAAAATTATTAAAAAAATAAAAGAAATTATTGGTTAAACTTGTTATTTAGAAATAGAAAATCTAACAACAAATGATTTGAATTGACGATATTCTTAGCTAAAACCTATTGCCAGCAATCATAATGAACAATTAAACATGAAAAACAACCAAACTTTTAATATCGTGTTACTTGAAACCCACTCTTTCTTTTAAGGATCTAGCTGACTACAAGTTGAAGGTTCCAATTGGCTAGACGTTTACAATGGAAAAAAGAATCGAAAGATGTTTCCTAACAATTTCAATGGAGGCTCTAAGATACATTACTTGCTTCTCTCCTTTTTATTGTTATTCATTGTTCGAACTTTGAGTTCCAATCAGATCAAATCAAAGAAAATGGGAAGAGAGCCTCAGGGACCCCATTTCCAAATCAAATACTATCTCACTGTCAGATGTTTATTGAACAAAGAGTAAAACATAAACCAAGTCTTGACTTACCCCCCAGCTGTAATAACATCATCCTACACAACTAGATTTAACATATCTATTAAACAAGATTACTGAAACACTAGCATGCATACATCGTTCTCTTCTCGTATATCCTTCGGATGGGGGCTCTGCAGTCTGCAAAATATTATTCGACATTAGCAGCAGGGGTATCTTCAGCTTTAACAGCTCGAGATTCAGAGGTACTGTCTTCGGCGGGCTTGCTAACTTCTGCAGTGGTCGATTCTGCAGGTTCACCAGCAGCAGCAGGTGCGGCATTGGCATCAGCTTCAGCTACTGGCTTCTGGAGTGTCCCAACTTTGGAATATTTGCTCATGAATTTGTATTCCCAGTCCTGCAAGGCATCAAGCTCGAACGGACCGAGACCAGAGATATCGCCAGTCAGATCTTTATCTTCAAAAGACATTTTTGCAAGAGCTCTGCTGGCATCCTTTCCAGCAAAAAGGGCATAGGGCCCTCCAGGTCCATAGAACATCCTGCAAGTAAAATGGGTTAGAAGACAATATCAAAGGAATTAGAAAATAGAAGCTCCACCGAGAGAGATATATGGAAAATTGATACCATGGGCAAACAC